AGTTGGGTGTGTGTTCTTTTGCTTTATTTTTTTATTTTGTTTTTCTACCAGGCATGGAGCTCAGGACCTCATGCTTACTAGGCAGGTCTGCAGGTCCCTGGCCCTAAAAGGGATTTATTTATCTATTCTATTTTCATGTTAAAGGTCACTAGTTCGGTTGTTGCTTGATTCTGGGGTTCCATCCTTGTTGCGCGCTTCTTGACCAGCAAGGAAGACGCAACACACAGCTCTTCCTTCAGCGGTTTATTCAGGCCCCTTACAGCAAGCTTCTTCTTCTCCAATCCCCTAGCCCTTGGCTAATATATATACTCCCGAGCCCAATCCCAGTGCGCCACGTGGGGATCACCCATGGGTCCAGCATATGCGGAAGCAAATCATGACAGCAGCCCTGGCCATATAAGGAGTTGTTGTGCACAGAGAGCGCTCACCCACGGGGGTGGGGTGGAAGGCGGAAACCAGCGCCATCTTGTAGGCGCGGTCCTTCGCAGCTCTCCACAACTAGTGAGAGGTTGGCAGCCCACAGCAAACACCAGATTTTGCCAGGGTTTCAGTGCATTGGTCACATTTCACCACAGGGACACAGTGCTGGATTCCACGAGTTACAAGAGGAGCCACTTGTGTTAGCTCACAGCGACAGTCAAGAGTGACTGGCTCCAAGGCAGGAGGGCAGGAGGGCCTGGCAACAGGTCTGGCCGAGGAAAGCTCCATGTCACAAGAGCCAGGAAGCAGAGAGAAGGGAGGAGCTCGGTTGTTTTCCAGCTCTAGCTCGGACAAAGGGTGTTGCTCTATGCGTGGGTGTGCTGTGAGGTGATGTGTTTAATTCACCTAGGAAGATATCTAGGAGGGGAATGCCTGGGACTAGAGGGACCTCTAATCCTAGTTTTTTGAGGAATCTCCATAATGTGGTCTTTTTCATACACCAGTGTATTACTCAGCTATAAAGAAAGACAAACTCAAGGCTTCTATAGGTAAATGGATACTACGCCAGGTCACACGTGTAAGTGCAATGCATCTGGCACACACGTGTACACACCATGTTGTCTCCCTAGTGTGAGAAACTGAGAGTGTAAATAAGATCCAAAAGGCACAATAGATATTGAAAAAGGCAAAGAAACTGATCAAAAAAGGAAAGAAGAGGGCTGGGGAGATAGCATAGTGGCCTAAGCACCTGCCTGGCAAGTGCAAGGACCTGGGTTCAATCCTCAGTACCACATGCCGTGCCGCCGTGCCGCTCACAGAAACTGAGTGTGGTGGCAGATGCCTGTAATCCCAGCCCTGAGGAAGCTGAGACAGGAGGAGCAGGACAAGTCTGAGCTTCATAGTAACACCCTGCATTATAAACAAATAATTAAATAAGTAAATAGAAAGAACAACTGGGATGGGGCAAAGGAGAAAAGGAAGGGAGATACCATATATGGTGTGTGTGTGTGTGTGTGTGTGTGTGTGTGTACACATATATGTACACATATATACGTACATATATGTACACATATATATATGCATACACACACACACAAGATAGCTAAGATAATTATACTATTAATTTCTAGTAGTTCATTGAAAGGAAAAGTTAGTGTCTGTATTGTTTGATCAATGTTGCATGCCTGTATCTGGTAATCTGAGCAACTACTTTGAAGATACCAATATGCATATAATAACCTTTGCTAATTTCCTATCATCTTCTTTTGAAGTTCTTTATCATTGTACCAGTCTTTAAATTTTTCTTTTTTTCACATTTTTAATAAAAGAAGAGAAGGGAGGACCAGGGGAGGGAGACACCCACTCCAGGTCCCATCCCTGGTGACCCACCTCTTCTGACTAGGTCCTACCTCCTAAGGGAATATTTAGCTACCACATCTATGACCTAATCACCTCCCAAAAGCCCAACCCTTGAGAGATTTGGGGGTCAGACTTGATCTAAATCATTACAGTATGTAAAGCGGCCTGCTAAAGTACTCACCTAGGAAGGCAGGCCTCAGGGACTCCAAGTTGCTGAGCCTGAAGGATCCTGAATGTCCTAAAAAGAGGGATATTGAAAACAAAGATGCGGGAGATAACCTTGAGGCTCCCCCCATTCCACAAGTTTCCTTAGGTTCCCGGGGGCGACAATACTGAGAAGTCATTTTGACCTGGAGATCTCAATTTCTTTCCCTCCGTGATTCTTGAACAGATGCTCCACTTTGGGGTGTTAAAGCCCTGCACAGACTCACCCCTTTTCATTTAAATAGATGCTCTTAGTTGTGCAGCAAAACAGATGTGACATCTTGTTTGAATTTCAGTGATTTTGTTTTCTTTACTTACTAGTAATGATTTCAGCATCTACACGGTTGAGTACGTTATGTCTTGACCCTGTCTGACTGCCATGACAAAATGCCGTAGATG